TCGAACAAATTGACTCACTCAGTTTGAGTCCTCATAAATGGCTTCTCAGTTACTTGGATTGTTGTTGCTTGTGGGTCAAAAATCCAAGTGGACTTACCAAAGCATTAAGCACCAACCCGGAGTATTTGAGAAACAAACAAAGCGAATCGGATTTGGTTGTGGATTATAAGGATTGGCAGGTGGGTACGGGTCGAAAATTCAAGTCGCTCCGGTTATGGATGATTCTACGTACCTCTGGTCTGGTTAACCTCCAAAGCCACATCCGCTCTGATGTTCGCATGGCCAAAATGTTTGAGGTGCTCGTAAAATCGGATCCCCGATTCGAGATCGTAGTGCCTAGACAGTTTGCACTGGTATGTCTTCGGCTAAACCCATGTTCTGAGGTTGGGTCGGGTTATATAGAGATGTTGAACCGTAAACTACTTGAATGGGTGAACTCGACGGGGCGGATTTATATGACCCACACCATAGTCGGTGGACTATATCTGCTGAGGTTTGCAGTGGGAGCCACATTTACTGAAGATCGCCACGTGGTTCCCGCGTGGAAGTTGATAAAGGAAGGAGCCGATGCATTGCTCAAAGTCAAGGATTGATGCATGATTTCAACTGAATTTGATGTGAAGGGGCACTACACCGTTGGAGACTTGAGTATTGATAGTGTTGGATAAGCATTCATCCGTTAAGTAATAATCTATTGGACGCAATTTGGCTATTCGGTAAATTTGTGCATGTTATCTAGCATTGAATAAAAATGCATGTATGTTTCGTAACGATTTTATGTCATCTTCTTGTACATTTGCTGAAGACAACACTCGGTGGCTTATTATATAAATGATATTTTGCCAGTTGGATGTAAATAAGATGACATAATACAGTATATCTGACTTAGAGCGTCCTTAAGCAAATGAACGGTCCTAGGCCCATGAGCGACTGGTCCCAAATAGACCGATCCTTTGGGACTAGTCCCAAATGGGACGAGTCGCTCATGGGCCTAGGACTGTTTGGGACCAGTCGCTCATGGGCCTGGGACCGGTCCCAGGCCCATGAGCAATATTAGGACCCGGACCAGTCCTTAGGATTGGTCTTATGGGCCTGAATAATTTCTTTCCCCTCTCCCCCTCCCTCGCGATCTTTTTTTTATATTTTAGGGGCAAAATAAAATTTTATAGGGGGTTGTTAGTATTTTTCAGGGGTAGATTAGTAAGTTTTTAAAAATTTAATTAATTTTAAAAATAATAAAAAAATTAATAGTTAATTTTAATTTTTAACATAAATTCACATTTCACATATTCACGCTTCACAAATAAACAATTAAATAATTTTTTAATTAAATTATTCATTTTCATTGTCAACAAAATTTACATCATTCAAATCTGTATTCCTAAAGAGTTCGAGTAGTTCGGGATCTTCAAGGTGCTGTTGTAGTCTTCTTTTTGCATGAGTCCAATCCCGTAAACACGTTATCACTTCAATCATCTCATCAGTTAAAGAATATCTTCTGTCTTCAACAATCCGACTAATGGTGGAAAAGCAACCCGCCCGGCCCGCCACTTTGTTGGAATTGGCTGGCCCAGCCCAACCCACCAACCCTAACTCGGCAAGTTATGCTGCGGGCCAGGCCGGGTTAACCCTATTTTTTTAATTTTATTTTTTCTTTTATTTTCTTTTGTTTTGTGTAATTGTTTTTAGTTAACTTTTCAAATATCAATAATTCAATTAAATTAATTTTTTTTTTTGTTAACAACTTAACATTTCAAATATTAATTCAATTTTAATACAATAAAATTGTAATATAAGAAAAATTGGATTTATTCATTTATCAAGTTACAATTTCCAAAACAACTAATTTGGGGGTTGACTAGGACCTCCCTCATTCGTATCATCTATATTACAAAATTGAAATAATTATATTAAAGTATCGTCGACAACCTCGTATTGATCTTGATGGCGCGACCGTTCCCAATCTTGAAGACATGTGAAGACTTCAATCATTTTTTATGAAAGTTTAGTCCTCCTTTCATTTAAAATTCTTCCACTTGCACTAAATGTTTGTTCGGATGAGACAGTTGAGATAGGAATAGCGAAAACATCCAAGGCAAGTCTTGATAATACAGGAAAAATACATTTTCTGGTTTTCCAATATTCTAAGACATCAAAGTTGGCTATTTGTTGTGGATCTGCTGGTAACATTTCGGGGGTTCCCAAATATTTTTAAAGCACATTACTCTGTGACTGCATGGAAGACAGTATATTCGTTGACGTTGTTGGTGCTTCTGAAGAGGAGGCTGTGCTTCGGGTTCGGGTCCTCTTCGACCTATTAAATGCACTCCAGGTGTAGAAGCTTTCACTTGTTTCTTCTGATGCAACTTCCCTGGGTATTTCACGTCTTTGCGAGTTCCCATACCTATTTTCATATTGGAAATATACCTCTGCAAGACAATCTCTTACCTCTCCTAGTTGATTGGTATATGCTTCGTTTTGTAAATTTTTAGATAATGTGTCTAAACCATTTTCTAAACCTGCTACTTTAATTCTAGGATCAAATATAGCATATAAACAATAAAGAAAATGAATGAGTTTCCAATATTTAAAAAAAAAAAATTTCCATTGCCTTTATTGGTTCCTTTAAAATTTCATTGTTTTTGTTTTTTGTAAATAACTCTGAAATTTTTATAATTGTATGTATTACCAATAGACTAGTAGGATAATACACACCAGAAAGTTATACAGTGGATTGGTAAAAAATTTTAAGAAAAGAATGAAACATTTTAGCTATATGCCAATCGTTTTCTACCAAATAATGAAGACCTCTATTATTTGCTACAAAATAACTAATTAAATTTGCATAAGGTAAACATGAATCAAGCATTAAATAAGTACTATTCCATCTAACATGCATGTCTAATGCAAAAGTTCTAGGAGACATATTTAATTTTATACAAACATCTTAAAATTCAGCATTTCTTTTATTACTACCAGTAATCCAAGCTAAACAATCTCTAATTCTATCAATATTTTTTTTAATTGTTTTCATACCACTTTTCACAATTAAATTAATAATGTGACATGCACAACGTTGGTGAAAAAACTTCAAATTGTTATAAAAAGGATAATTAATTTTAAAAAAATTTATAGCTGCACTATTAGCACTTGCATTATCTAAAATTAAACTTATCATTTTATTAATAACATCATAATTTTCTAAAACTTCAACAATTTTATTATAAATTTGTTGACCACTATGATCCACATTCATTAATCTAAATCCCAATAAAGATTTATTTAATCTATATTCATTATCAAAATAATGACTAGTCACACAAAAATAATCTTGTTTAGTTTTACCACTCAAAATATCGATAGTTAGAGTCACACTAACATGACAACTATGTATTTTATTTTTTAATTCTAATTTCATTTTCCCAAACAATTTTATTAAATCATTTTTAGTTGCAGTTTTAGAATAACTTTTAAATCCTGGAAAAAATGAATTTTTAATAAATCTTTTAAAATATTTATCTTTAACCATATTAATAGGTTGATCAGTTACAGCAATATATAAAACTAATTGTTCCCTATATACATCAGAATTATAACGCCAAGTAGTACTCATATTAGTTATTTGAGTTTGATTGGTTTCCTATTTCCATGTTGAGCAGTATGTTTATTAGTATGCCTTTTTAAAGTACTAGTACCATTACCTGAATCAGCTTTATAAATATTTCCACAATACTTGCATCTTGCTTTCTTCACTTGAACTCCATTTTCTGTCTCGTAAAATTTATCGAAATTCACCCAAACATTTGATGTGTGTTTGTCGTCGGTTTCGATAGCAGTTGATGAACCCGCTTCTGCTTGAGATAAAGTTGGACGAGGACGACGATTATGAGGATGATTTCTAGAACCACCAGGAGCTGTAGCAGCATGGGGAGGAATCGGGGGCATATTTTGATGTGTATCGGATTCTGAGACTGGGAAAGTGAGACTATTTGAATCTGCTGCATTTATGTTAGTAAATTCAGCAGGACTAGGATAGTAGTTTCCTTCATCATCGAAATTGATGGGAGAGAAATATCTATCCATTGTAGTTAAAAAAAAAAAAATTGATATAGAAGAAATAAAAAATTAAAGAAGAAGAATTGGAAATAAAAAATTAAAGAAGGAGAATTGGAATATGGAAATATGAATTGAAAATTGCAAAAACTAATAAAAATTAAAATGAGAGCAAATTGATAACAAAGAGAATAATTGAGAGATTTCAATAGAGATTAGAGATTAGAGACTAGAGAAAATGAGAAAATGTGAAAATTTGGAATGTGAGAAAATATGAGAGTTTAGAGCCAATTTATAGAAAAAAATGAGAAAAGAAAATAACGAAAAAGCCCCTCCAAATGCTATAAAACGACTATATTTCAAGGGTAAAAGTAGTATTTGAAAAAAAAAATTAATTTTGTTTTTTATTTTTTTTCGGCCAACCCGTCGGATTGGCGGGTTCTTTAAAAAAAAACCCGACCCACCCGAAGGTTGCATGTGGGTCGGGTTCAACCTAGCCCACCTACTAGATGGTCCGGGTTGAACCCTTTTTAATGTGAAACGGGTTAGGATTGACTCACCTCACCCGGCCCATTTGTTCCACCTCTATTTAGAAGCATCATATATTATTATTTAAAGAACAATGCTACAGTTATTAAAAAATATATACCGAATTCATGCATCAACAAACATAACACTATCTTTTAAAAAAAAAAATTTATAATTAATCACCGATCATGATGATGTCACGTTTATCAATGCGTAAATTCAATATCCCTTTTTTGTTAACTGTATCACTTTTCTTATTTAAATCCCAATTCAACTAAGTTATCAATATGCTTATGATTCCCTAATATGAAATTTTCCAAATGACTTTCATGCTTATATTGACACTGCCGTCAAAACTCGAAACTATTGCCTATTCTAATTTTGGTAGGATCATTAAGAAGTAAAGCCAAGTTAGAAACTGGTAAATATTTTTTTCCAAAATTTGGTAAAAAGTTTAAGTGTAGAAGTTCATCATAAACTAGTTCAACTACTCTAGCAAATCTACAAGGACTCAAATCCCTTACTGAAGTTTCACTACATTCTTCAAAGTTGCAGCTTCGAGCTGCTCAAATACTGGGGAGTAATTATGCCGACGAATTATCATGACGAGGATGAACGTATTAGCGGCCAGAAACACCAAGCTTGCGAGCCAGAGTTTTAAGAAGACGTTTTTGCCCTTAAATTCCAGCAAATAACCCCACAGCAACCAGTGAGTTTGAGCCCCCATCCACACAAGAATGCAAATGAAGCCTTCCCACTTAAGTTTCATTTTGGTCCACGGCAGTATCAGGGGCAGTAAGCAAAAGAACCAAACAAAGTATTGCGCCGTTATCACCTGTTAAAGATAATAAATTGAGCACCTATGTCAAAATTATCGAAACATAAGCATGTAAAAATATAAAGAAGACATGGTTCCAACGTGTAAGTAAAGATAGTATGTTATCACCTAAGAGGCAAATACCCATATGGCTCCCTTTCCAATGTGTTATGAATAAAAATTATATGTTAAGGTTGCATAAAAATGCATTTATTGATTAACGAACCTTATTGAAGGCTACAAATGCCACCGTCTGCAGAAAAAAGCAAAATGGGAGATCTTGACCAAATCTGAAAATGAGAACCATCTGTACTACAAATTGAGGCAAAAAGGAGATGAGCTTTTCCACCACCGAGAACTCACATTCATGTTGGAGATAAATGTGATAAAAATAAATTGAAAAATTGTGTCTTGGATCAGTACGAGTAAGATGGTATAGCAGCGCCTCATGTAAGAACTCCCATCTATAAAAATAGAAGAATAGTGCAGTACAAGATAGGAAGACAGCCCCTGACACCAGAGCAAAAACTATTCTCTCTTTTGCAAATATAGTTTTCACTGGTGTCCATAAGCCATATTGATCTGCCATTTTACTATAACTTTGAGCATTTTTGTCTTGCCTAAGCCTCCAATTTAGGAGTTTCGGCTTAAAACCCGATTGGAAGAAGAGTGGATCAAGAACCAGGATAACTGGAAGTGCATAAATTATAGGATAAATTCTGAAGTGGACAACAAGTCCATACCAAAATGCAGCTTGTAAAACATTACCTGTAAACCAGAAATAGCGAGACATTAATCAGCATCACAATAATCTTCTGATTAATGTTTGAGAACTTCATTATGAAAGAATCAAGCTACTCATGTGCATAAACCAAAAGAGGTTGTATCACACGATTCACACCCAATCAGAGAATTGACAATAAACAGTACAAGGTCATAAAATCAAAGAAATAAATCAGGTAAAGGAGAAGCTTTCATACTCCAGCAGCACTTTACAAATGAATATACATTTCATATTTGAAATGAAGAAAGTTCTCTATTTCTTTTTTTTTTTTTTTTTTCCAGAGAAAATGGGAGGGGGCTGCAGAGTAATTGGGTAGTCTTAAATGCACAAGTGGGGGAACCACCGTAAGGTTTAGCCATTGAAAGCACATAGTACCCTATCAGCAGCTTTTGGCAGTCTGGTGTTAACATAATATTCTCCCAAGTTTGTTAGGGAACCTTTTTAAGAACTCAAAAGTGAAGTTTTTTTGCAATATTTGTGTCAAGTTTTAGATGGTAAGTTGAAACTATAAAACCCACTTCAACAACTCAAAGCATGAGAGCAGACAAAATGCTAACATAGAAAGGCTAAGCATTTTGGACTTATAAAGCTTTACCAAATCCCAAATTAAGGTTCTTCCCTCTTTTTTTCCATCACAAAGGAATAAACCTCCTAAAAGCAACATCTGCAGTCTGCAACTGTGGCTACAACTCTCCATCACCAAGCACTCCCTAATAGATCATCTGTATCTAATGTGAACCACAAAGCATCCTTCTGTGAACAAGAACAATCTAAACCTACCATATTTGGTTTGGTTTAGCTGAATAACGATCTAATTGAAAACAAAGCACTTCAAATAAACAACTAATAGTTTTACCTAAAATTTTCGATATTTATTCAACGGTAACATCATTTCAAACATCACTTGGGTGAAAGCAATAAGGGAAAGTAGCAGAGAATAAGATTCCAGAATTCAGACTTGATTGACTGGATCTCATAGAAAAATTTCTGTCTTACAGGACTTCTTGGCAGAATCCAAAATGGTAGTGGAAAGTTCCATGATGAGCATTATTATGGTACGCACTCTGCATGGTTGAAGACAACAACATGTGTTCATTTCCAATCTTCTAACCTTACTCATATCCAACCTATCTTGGTGGGATTGGAATTAGATCACATGATCTCTTGTACAACTACAAGAGGCCTACAAGTTAAACTAGATATACCCACAAACTGAGTTTTGTTTTTTTCAAACGAAGCTTTCCATGTCCTTTTCTTGATCTTTGAAAAGCCTTTCTCCCTGGATTTCCTTCTTTCTCAATATCTATTATGTATTTCAATAGTCACACTGAATTAAACTGTTCAAAAACACAGACAAATTAAGTCATTTCGGGATGTAAGGGCAAGTTGAGAACTAAATAACATATAACACTTCTATCTGTGTATTCACCAAACAATTAAGAACAAATATGTGCATAACTAACAATTAATACTAGCATGCTTTCTCCTTGATAATTTCAATTTTGCAGTTTCAGAACTAATAATTCAGCCCTGAAAGTTTTCATTCCTATATTTTCGCTTTTATCAAACAAACCCAACTGATATTACCAGTGAATAACCACTAAGCAGTTGATATCTCACATCTATAATACACTATAAGATGATTTAGCCACTAATTTCCTGAAAAGTTGTTTGAGCAGTTAAACAAGACTACACATTAAAGGTCAGAATTTCCCTCAAAGACACTTCAAAGAGTATGTCCCCAATGTCGATGTCTTATAGCTTGCAAACACATTTTCCAGGCATCAACAACCCACAGTTGAGACATCAATATGAGGGCATTAAACTTGTCAACATACTAAGAACTCAAAAATAAAATAAAAAACACCAAGAAAGCATAGCAACTCTATCCATTTCAAAAGTTTTAAAAAAAAAAAAAAAAATGAAAGTAGAAATATACCTTTCATAAGACAGATAATGATCCACAAAATCATGGCACAAACAATGGGCTCACAGTTCCCACGAGTTCCAATGGTGAAGGTAAATGGATTGAAGAGCCATACCATTACAGAATACTTGCAAAGATCCTCAGGTACCTTCCGAAGCTTCAATATGGAATGGATAAAATAACCCACAAGTAAATCTGTTATGGAATGCACAGATAACTTTCCTTAGGCAATATTTGAAAACACGAGCACACTCAAAAGAATCAAAACAAGCAAGGATACTGGACAGAATATATCACTAATTTTCGTAATTAAGCTTGTTCCAAACTGATTTGGTTAACACACTATTGATATATCAACTAGTCCGTCATCTAAATTTTCATACCTATGCATTAAATTTTTCAACAAGGATTTGACAAATTCAAATACAGTAGAACCTCTCTATAATGACACTCTATATAGGAATAACTTCCATGTAATCATAAAAACTTCAGGTCTCAACTTAGGTCAGTTATAAATAAGAATAAATTTCACATTGTAATAAGTTATAATTTTTCTAAGTCCCGTCTTAAGGAACTTGCCTCTACATAGTAATAATTATATGTATATTGCAAAAAAATATTTACTATGTTACATTAAAGGTTTAAGATAAAATAAAATATTTATCTAAAATTGTTTGGGACAATTATTTATACTTTAGAGTTGTTACAACATCTTTTATCTTGCGGGTACATAACAAGCCACTAGCATGGACATCTTCTTATTGAAGCCAAAATATTTCTAGCTCTCAAGCATGTTTAGAGCTTCTTGGCACAAATTTTTTGATATTTTCGTAGTATCATCCTCAGGATTATCTCTTTCCTCTTCTTGTCTAATTCCAGTAATGATTTCTTTTTCAGTTAAAACATATACGACTTGTTGCTCATTTGGATTATTAAGAAAGACATTAATATTCATTTGATTGGTGTACTGAAGTTGTCGAATTTGATGACTCAATTTTACAATGACTCTTTGATACCCATTTCCGTATTATCCTAATGCTACTAAAACAATGAATTGAAATCTTAATACTACTAAAACATGAATTATAAAATAAGAAATCAAAACAATAATTCTTGTTACTGTACCTCTATTAAATTATAACCCCCTTATAGTAATAAATTTAGTTGGTCTCAACATTATGACTATAGAGAGGTTCTATTGTATAATTTCACTACATTAGCAAATTCATTTTTAACACCAAAGGTTATAAACTTTCCACACCTGAAGCCGAGAATAGAAATTTCCCCCAAGAGTGATGAATAATTGAATTTGGAACGAGCAAAAATGCCAGCAAAGGTGAATACCGGTATGTTGTTCTTTGGTATGGGGACTGTCCGGAAGCCACTAAGGAAGCAGCATCAGAAAAGACAAGGTAATCAACATCTGTATATCTGACCTCCATATGAGAGTCTTGCCATTCTCCATAGATAATTAAAACAACACGTAAAAGGGCCGAGAATCTGAGCAAGGAAAGGATATTTGTTGTAATCATCGCTGAAAAGGAAAAAGCATAAAACCATTTAGCTAATAAGTGATATAGAATCTTTCATATCAAACTAATTCAAGTAATATGAAAAATAAAATATAATCCCATTCCAGTTTCAGTATGTAATATTTACTATATTATCATCACTATAGATCAAACATTATTATCATGTGTCCAATCCAGGACAAAACAATTCTTAATCAGAATTTTCTGAAACTAATCAACCATGAAAAGTTGTGAAATAAATAACCCTATTTATAGCCAAATAATGTGATTTTAATTAGAAAAGAAACCCTATTTGTAGCCAAATTTTAATAAAATAGAAACCCAAAACGATCAAAACATAAATTGGAGTTCTAAGAATTCAACTGAACTTGTCCCACATCACTCCAGTCATTTCACAAACAGTAAAGCAAGCAAATAAATGAGAGACATTTACAACAAAAAAAATTCATCTTTTCTACTTTTTCTAAAACAAAAAAAAAAAAATTATTAGAAAAGAATCTATGATAAATGTAGACTCTTGATCAAGGTGATAATTAATGGTGCATTGCATCTAGTATTAGTTGTCAAATTTGGTTTTGAAAACGAATTTCATGTTTTCCCTAAACGTTTTAGCTAACAAAAAAGTTTCCCTCTGTTTTTGCATTTGTAAAATGAAAAATAGAATCCAAAAACAATATGGTATGAAGCAATTAGATTCAGGCAACTAATCTAACCGATAAATTCATATTAACATCAGTATCATCCGTGATCTTTAAGCTAAAAACAAAGGGCACTGACATTTTACTTAGGTTTCACTCATGTTCTCTTAGCTTCACCGAATTTAGATCAGAAATTGAAACCTTTCTTGAACCATAGCTTTCACCAATGAAGAAACAATTATTTAATATATATAATAAAATAAATTTTACATTAATAAGCAAGCAACCAATGTTTTAGTATTCATTACACAACACAAGCAAAACAATTATTATCAAATTAGTGACAGAAATTCAATTAAATTAATACGCAATTTACAAAGATGAAATTTTATGAAAAACTTACCAAATTGGGTGACGCAAAGACTATAGGAGACGGAGTGTAGCCGGTGAGGAAGCCGAAGACTGGCCAGCTAGGTTTTGTCTAGTATGCATCGGTTCTGTCCAGTGAAGCTATGAACGGACGGGGAGGAGGAACGTAAATCTGGGATTTTCTGGGTTGAAAAGAAAGTTGTTTGAGAAATTTGGGCAGAACCATTTCTGTCTGGCTTAGCTGCAAATTCACGCCTGAAACTTAAAATTAGGAAATTTAGGTTTAAAACCTGAAATTTAATTTTTTTTTTTTTTGGATCAGATACAAATTATATGAATACAACAACACTACCGATCCCCAAATCAAAAGTTAATCCACACACAATGTTATTAGCAATGATTTAGGCAAATCAATAGTGAATGTAATACACCAGATTTTTCTAAAAAATAAGTGAAGCTAAGTGATGTCTTTCGAGAAATAGTAGGAAAATCACAATATTTTTGTGATAATCCGTATGTTTTTGTCAGCAACCAAACAGAGGCACAATAACATACATTTTCGTGATAAGATCCAGGCAAAAAAATCACTAAATCAGACTAATTTTAACAAATTCAAAATGTTAGTTAATAAAAAAATTAAAAAAAAAAAATCAACAGCACGTCTTACAATCTCTTCAAAAACAAATTATACCTACGAATGCGTCAGCTGCCTCAGGCTAACGTCAACAACACCGGCGTGAACCGTGAAAAACCGGAAACGATTCCGTCCAGAAAAATGCGGCAGCACAAACGTCAAGCTCAAAACGAAAGTGAGAATTCAATTACATTCCCTGCGGACCCTGCACTTCTTTGGATTCCCCGTCTTCTCTGAATTTTCAATCCCTCTGGGTTGACTTTCCTTAGCGGTAGCAACGGCAAAAAGCGCCTCCGGCTCAGTAAAAGTAAGTAGTAATAAGGTGGTCCCCTTCCCTATTCGTCCGGGTCCTTCTTCCTGGTAAGCAGAGATTATGAGTGAGTTTAAGAAGGAAGAGAGTGCGCTTGAGTGAGAGACTAAGAGTCAAGCAAATGGCAAGTGACTTAGGGATCCGGTCCCGATAAAATTTAAGCCGCCAGACGTTTCAAGTTTGCATTTACAAAAATAACCCTAAAAATATTTTATAATTTTTTTTAAGTTAGAAAAACAGAATGTGACATAGTTAGGATTAATTAAATATGTGAAACGAGTTAAACTGAAAATATTTAAACATATATAGGTAATATTATAATTAACGAAAGTTTGTTTAAATTTTGCAAAATTAAAACGACCCCCTCCTTTCAAAATCGCTTAATCAAGCAATATACCCAAAAAAGAGCGACAAAACACCTTCGATTTCTTTGTGATTTCGGCCAATATTCGATCCTAAAAATTCGTTACACAAAATCATGGCTGATATTCACAAAGAGGAGGAAAACCCAACCCCACTCCAAATCCTAGGCTCCGACGGCGACAGCTCTTCAAAGGCTGTCGAAGATGACGTTCCAGTAGATCATCTGATGAGTCAAGGTGGTCTAGAGGCAGAGGAGACCACGACGGCACAAGAAAAGAGAGAAGAATCGGAAAATGGTTCTGAAGAGGAGGACAACGACGAGAATTCAAGCAAGGAGGAGGACGCCGGTGAAGAAAGGGTACGTTTTTTACTGGTGGTTTTGAATTTGATAGGTTTGTGCGAATTTGGGGGATATGTAGTTGGTTTTATTGTTATGATGGTTGTGGTGTTTTGTCGAGTAGTTGACAGGCATCGAGGGAGTGGCTTTGTTTGGGTTCTAGAGGATGGGGGAAGGCAAAGGAGGCCGTAGGGAGGTTGTTTGTGGGAGGTTGGAGGGCCGGGGATGGCAAGAGGTGGTGGAATATGGGGGTTGGAGGGCTGCCCTGCATATTGCAGGGCTGGCCACGCACAGTTGTGTCATTATGATATGAACTATTTTTTTTACAATATAGACTTAGATTTATGAGGTTGTCCCTGTCCTGGCTAAGGCCACGGGGGGATGGGGGGGGGGGGGTGGGGGGGGGGGGGTGGAAGAAGACTTCGGATGAGCGACCGCAATTTCCTAGGATGTTTCGATGGCACATCGAGAAGTGTACCCATTGGGATTACGACAAAATAGACATGGAAATTCAAGCGGCCCGAGTAAGATTAAAGGATTAATCTTTTGAATATGCATTTGCTTTTGAATGTGGCTTAAATTTGATTGATTTTTTTTTTCTTATTGCAAGGAGTCGTCTGTCCCTTCCTCACCACCACTAGGGGTGAAGCGGGAAAGGAGTATGTTACATGATTCAGAGCACTGGACGATGCAACAGATGAAGGGATATACTGCCTAATGCGGGACCTAGAAGGGGTCACGCATGTGAGTGCAGTTGCAGGGCCACTACTTGAGAATGTTGTTGACGTCGAGGATGATGAATAGCTCCAATCAGCGGGAGGGAGGAGGATGAGGAGGACGAAGAGGATGAAGACGTTTATATGCCTCCACCCAATTGGCAAATCAGTACAACAAGTACCGCTTTGTCGAGGCATCGAGGTTGGGAGAATGAGGTGGTTGACCTCATAAACAGTTTGTTTGAGAGTTTTACAATAGCCGTTTATGAGAGGTTTGAGAAGATGTAAGAGTGGATGAAAAAGGTTGAGGAGAAAGTTGATAGGGTGGAGGAGGAAGTTGGTGGGGTATTGAAAGTGGTTGAAGTGCAACCTGAGCATAAAAAGAGAGCTGAAAGAGTAAGCACGTAAATTCTCCTTACATGACAGTAACGTATGGAAAGAAGAGGAAAACGAAGAAAAAAAAATGAGAAAGTCTATGAAAGTGGAGAAGCAAAAATGGAGGAGGGTAAGGAGGAAGGCGAAGGAAGTGGGGAATTGAAAATGGAGAAGGGTGAGGTGGGACGTGAAGGAAGTGGGGAAGTGAAAATGGAGGAGGGTGAGGAGGAAGGCAAAGGAAGTGGGCAAGTGAAAACGGAGGAGTTAAAGGTCGATTTGTATAGGCCAGTAGATGAGGAAAATAAAAAACTCTTCTATGCCTATTACAATGATTCTGGAAGTGATGGGCGTGTAAAGTGCATGACTAGGGATTATTCCCATGAGTGGTTTGAAAAGATGTTGATGACAGACATACAAAGTTTAATCCTTCACAAGTGCACGAGTTGTAATCGTAGCATAGTGCACGAGTAAAGGTCGATCCCACAAAGACTGGAGATGCTCTTGCGATCCTAGTAACTATGCCTTGATGAATCAAAACAACAAGAATTGAAATAAAGAAAACATAAAAACGACATTAAAGTAAATCTAAATCTAACTATACACAAAGAATCCTAGGGCTCTAACTCCATCATAATTATCAGTCTATGTGTTCATCATCGAACTATCGTTCTCCCCACTCCATTCTAGGGTTCGTACATCATTGTTTTCAACCTAGTACTTTCATCGTTCAAACTAGCTAGTGGTGTGTAACCTAGTCTAAACAACGAAGGAACCAATTCGCATAGACACAAATCATCCATTCACAGAGCTAATCAAGATAGGCATAACATCTCTTGTTTCTAAGGTATTATCGCGGCCATTCAGAATAACCTAGTGTTTCCATCAACTAAACTAGCTAGTGACTTGTAGGCTATAGCCTAGTCTAGTAACGAAAACCCATTAAGCACAAGACGATCTTAAAGACAATAACCAATCTATACCCAGGCAGGGCTACAAATCAATCATTTTGTACCCAATCTTGTCTCATACAATCAATCAAATAACATCAAGGTTGATCAGGCCCTAATAGCTACTAAAGATTGAATTAAATTCAATGGATGAATCTAGAACATAATAGAATTGATCAAACAAATAGATTAACAATAAAACACAAGCCTTCAATTAGATTACTTCAAACCCTAGAAAACAAAATACAACATAAAGGAAAAGAAACAACATCACCTAGAACCATAAACATGAAGAACAAAGGAGGAGGAGA